TTATTGAACAATTTCTTTATTTTAAAATTTTAGAACATTTCTTAGCATTCATTGGTTGATTTGGCACTAATTTGTAAACTATTTTCACATGAAGGTTGTGTGCACATATGTGTATGTGTGTCCCTGCCTCCCTGCCTTTATACTGTCCACACTTTATCAGCACTGAGGGCAATGTGTTAAGAAGCACTTAAGATTTTGAAGGAAAGACAGATCATTGTGTCTCAGATAAATGCCTTGATCTCTAAGGTACAGAAACATTCTGTAAAGTATTCTTCCAGTGCTGGAGAAAAAAATGTAGATCAACTGTTACTGTGACAAAAGAGGAAGCTAAAAGATTATGTCCTCAGGTTGGTTGTGGGTTACCTGGGGAGGCAGGAGGTCTTGTTCTGTATTTGTCAGAGAAAGACTACGTGTGTTCCTCCTGTGCTCCTACGTGTGTTGTTTTTGGGTACTGGATGAGTTTTGTTCCTGTTACATCAGGGTAGGGAAGCCTCAACACTGTTTTAATGAGGCACCTGAAGGTTTCTCTGGTGTAGGAACATCAGCAGCTGGCATAAAATATTGACTGCTGACTTTGTGTCACTTCGAGTTGGCCTTTATGCCATTAAACAGCACACTGGTGCTGCAAGGTGGGCCTGGATTCATTTCAGATACAATTCAGTACATCTGGGACAATTCATACATCACGGTTTGAAGCCATTTGCTTTCCCCTAGTAGAGGTTTGACACACTGAAAATATTTCTCTCTGTGTGAGCTCTAGAGACTGATGTTCTTTAATTTTCTTACGGACCTTGTTTCACAAAATGTAAGACTTGTATGCCATGAATTTAGTCTTAATTAATTCTTCTTCTTGCATCCTGCATGCATGAGTTGAGATCTTAAGTATATGATTCAAAACAGTTTCTCATCTTTTGACAGTTTATCCCACAGTTTTAATGACTTCCTATTGTGCTGCATTGGTTTAAGAAGCACTAGCCAAATCCATTTTTGACTTATTTTTACAGTAGTTGTCACCATATATTATTAATAACATAATTTCTTTCTGAGCATTCTTCATATAAAATTAAAAATAGAAAGAAGTTCTGAGTACTTTTAATACTTTTCATTTGCAGAAAAAGATGACTAAATTAAGTATGTCCTAATGAAAAAGAGAAGACTTCAAGTCTAAAACTAGAAATGCACTGATAAAAATTGGTTCCCAGAAATGTTAGGTGCTGAAAAAAAGATAAAACCTGAAGTGGATTTAATTGAAAAAAAAAAAAAAAGACAGTCCAGTAAAAGAGAAAATATAAAAATATGTTTCAAGTGAAGGGTAGTTGTGAGAAAGACTATTACTGGTTGTAGTATTGAGGAAAGAAGAGAGGAGGTGAGTATTGGCATAAGAGAAGACCTCATCATTAGTGTCTGGTATTTTGCTGCATCATCTTGTACTTCTGCAGTTTGCTGCACCATTTCCAATTCAACTGCAACATTCCTGGTGCTAAGCTGTCATGGTTAGAAATTCAGAAAATCTGAAATATGCAACTATTCTTCTAATATATTATTTCCACATTTTAAATTTTTTTTCATATTAAATATTCTAAACAAAAGTGTAAGAAATGCTGAGATTGTACCTGACACTGTGTGCTGGAGCACACCAGGCCCCCTCTCCCAGGCAGCACAGGTGAGTGTCACTCTCACAGGGAATGGCACAACACCAAGTATCACCCCAGCTGCATTATTCACTGTGCTGTGCCAGGGGTAGGTGCAATAATTCAATCTAGAGAAACAACTGCATCTAAAGATTGTCCGTTTCATCCTGGTGGGAAAAATCTGCAGTGGGCACATGTCAAATCCTTCTACACCTAAAGGTGCACCAGCTGGTTGAAATACTCTGTCTCAAGAATTCCGTATTTTATGTAATCTATTTAAGATCTTTTTGGATAAATATTTAATATTTTTTCATCTCTCTTTATACATAAGTCAAAGCTGATTATCACAACAGATGATAGGATAAAGTTTACGTTATGGGAAGTGAGAGTGATAATAGGAGACTGATGACCTAGAAAATGTATGGTTTCTTTCAAAATATTTACTATCTGACCAAAGTTGGCTTTGGTTAAAGCAACAACGGGATAGATGGTGGCGCTTTGCCTTGGGGAAAAAAAAAAAAGATTTTAGAAACTACATTGTGCAAAGTACATTTTAAACTAAACTTATTTGTCTAACCAGAGAGTTAGAGGGCAACACTGACATTTTGGAGCTTTGAATAAACATCAGCATCTTGTGCTAGTTCCCAAACAGAAAGCTGTCCTTTAAGCTTTCCTTAAAACATATTTTCTCATCTTTGTAAAACATAGAAATGGAAATGAAATTAGAAAATGTTGAAGAAAATGTCAAATTTGTTAATTTGGTTAATTCCAATGGGTAGATTTATTTTTATTTCTCAGTTGAAACAATAACCATTGTTAGAAAAACTCTTGCAATATTCTAGAAGTTAGTGAAGTTTTTGACTTGATCTGGAGTACGGCCAAACCCCATATACTCAATCTAAATGTTGTACTTAACTGCTGATAAAACTAAACAGCCATTTGAATGTAATGCTGATATGCCATAAATTTAACTGAAGCTATAGAAAAGAGGTCATTTGGAACCTTTTCTGGAAGTGTCTGCACGGTCATGCTATGACTTTCCTCAAAAACATACGGTAGCCTGTCTTGCTTTTTGTAATGTTGCTGTTTTTTCTTTTTAAGGTTAACATGAGGCAAAAGTATTTATTCAAAGAATTATATTTTTATTTGATTTTTATTTCCTCACTCTTGTCAGTTCAAATGTTATTACAGAGTATTACTGAGAGGGCTTACTATTTTCTAGATGCTGAGCTCTCAAAGAATTATCAAGCTTTAGTAAAGCTTTTCTTTTGATAGGGAACTTTTTTATAATAAGTGACTTTGGTGGCTGAGACAACTACAGTTTTTAGGTTCAGAACTAAACCAGGAAGTCTGAAAAGGACACTCACCTAGAGTCAGAGAGAGAGAGAGTCTCTTCTAAAATTTGCATTAAAATAGCATGGAAAACAGTGGACTCCCTGATATTCTTCAGTGTTCTCCAGTATTTAGATTATTTGTTGTATATTACGAAAAATTCCTTTGGATTACTTTATGCCTACTTTTTACCTTATTCTAAGTACAAGCTCCACTATTTGGCCTGAATTACTGTTAATGGTATTTTTGTCTAGCAGTGACTATTCCTTAAATTAAAAAGTAGTTTTAGTAAGGTCATTGAGTTTTTTGATTTGCAAATTAAGAAGATACTTCTGGACTCATTTGAGAAAAAAGAATATTTTATTGTGAACTGTGTATATTCATAGAGAAAAAGAAAGAATCACATTCTCACTAGGAATAATCATATTAGGATTTTATTTCCATGGTTTGGTAACAGAATGTTCTGTTTGAAATTTGTCATTTAGTACTCACTACACATGGTACTTCAAAGATGATAGGGTCTGTTTCAACTTGCATATCTGTGGTGTCATGAAATCATTATAGTGACAGTGTACTTGAACCTACATTTCCACCCATTTTAAAAATCCAAGTAGCCTTTTATAGGACAGCAGCCTGTCATGGACCATCAACAGCCACAGAGAAAAGGCTGCAGGATGCACACAGATAACACTTTCACAAGTTTACATTTTGAATGTTAGATATCCATCCATTTTCTTGCAATGGGAAAATTAATGATAATAATAGTAATAGTAATAGTAATAGTAATAGTAATAGTAATAGTAATAGTAATAATAATAATAATAATAATAATAATAATAATAATAATAATAATAATAATATTTTTGTCATAATCTAAAATACTTTGTGTCAGTTTACTTTGAATTGGTAAGATTAAAAATGTTTTCCATATCTGTCATATTATTCTCCATCACTGGCTATTTCTGTGACTGTAAAAGTGATAACATCTGGGGGCAATGGTTGTGAGGAGCTTTGCACTTTACACAATAAGCAAAGTAAGCGGATTCTTAACAGCCCAAAGCAAAAATGGAGCTTGGAGTATTGGATCTCTCCCATTAATTGGTGTAGATTTGGTTTTGCCATGAGATCCCAAAGGGTTTAAAACTGATAGTATTTATGCTAACTACCTAGTTTGTCAGAAGAAAGAGAATTAAAGTGTAAAAAAAATTGACAACCTCCAAATGCTAACAGCTCTCAAGGCTGGAGAATGTAGTTCTGTGGAGCAGTGTACTTGATTCTGTCTGTAGCTCTTTTCCTGAGCAGTTACATCAGAAATGCCAGTTTCAGATACAGGACTAATTGGTGCAAAAGTTCTTATTAAGTAGTTTAATCTGCCCAAATTAAAAACTTAATTTAAATCAAGTTCCATGTTTTGAAAATAATTCTGAATTAATTGTTAAAAACACTTTTTCAACTTAAATTAGGCATGCATGGTTGCTTGTTCAGGTTTTTTGTTTGTTTGCTTCTTTGTTTGTTTGTTAATTTGTTTTGTTTGGTGGGTTATTTTTGCTAATTATATCTTTGCATAGACTTTTTTTTACCAAAATATTTCTAACTTCCTGTATAACGTACAGAAACACAATGATAATAAGAATCCATAGTAATAAGCTATACATATACTATAATCTATGTATAAACAATAAGCTATATATGTATTATAATCTATAGTAAGACACTATAGAATGTAGAACCCTAATTTTTAAAAATGGACCACATTATTGTGTAAACAAGCCCCTGTTTTGTATGTCAGTTGTTAATTATTAAAGACAGCAGAATATTTGAAAAGTTACGTAGGCACTAACTTTTGGATAAGATGTTCTGTTCCAGAATGTTTAAGATGTGTAATTATTCTCTTCACCCCAGGCCTCTAAGAACTAATCTAAATTTTATTGTTAATGATAATACATTTGTTTAAATCAAGTTGCCCCAAATGATATTAGGTGTATTACAATGTAAGTTACATAATATTTCTGATTTTTTTTTTTTGATCTACACTAGAAGTTACATGGGAAGACCAGCAGAAAAAGGTGAATGGTACAATAACTGATGACAAACCATTGCCGAAAAAGAAACACCATTCTGAGACAGGTTTGTCAGGGTTTGGAAAACCACATGAAAGCATGAGACTATAAAACCACATTTCATGCTTTTGTAATGCGTGTGTGCTTTATGTACCTTATTTTTTCACTTTGGTGTGAAATATTTAGCATGTAGAGACCATTTAGATGATATAGTTTTGTTTTAGAATAGCAAAAATAGATATGCTTTTGTAAACAATTGTGTTAGAATGCACATACATTAGAAAAGAAGTGTTCTGGCACAGTATTAGACATAATTTGCTTTTAGTTTTGAATTTTGTTATGACTTAATAAGTTTGTGCAAGCCTCAAGAATCCAAGTATAATCTATGCTGACTCTTATTTAGTTGACCAAACCAAGGTACCTACTGCATGTATGGTGAAAAAATCATCTTCTACAGGCTTAAATCTCTGAAACCTTCTTTCACCATCACACAAGGCACAAATAATGTTCCAGTGTAATTTTTTATGCAAGCTGCAGTTTATACCGTCATACTTGGAAATTCTCAAATCTAAAAAATCTCTTCTTTCCTCCATTCTGTACACAAATGGATTTCTTCTGAAACTAAAAACTGTCTCAAACTCTTTTCACCCCAAATAGCAAGTTCAATTATTCAGCTATCTTTGTTCCTACAAATGCATAGCAATAAAATGTAAACGTAGTAATAATAACGATGATGATAACAATAGTGTTGTTGTGTCTTCACAATCAGAGAATAAAAGGTCCTAATCACATTAATTTATACACTTGCAAAGGGCAAGCACACCTTTAGGAGTAGAGAAGGTCGGGAGGAGAGAAGGAAGGGGAAGGGAAAGGAAAGGGAAATGGGATCTTTATATTGCAGGTTTCATCCTGTATTTAAAGATTGATTGAATCTACTCAAGTGAATGGGATTTTTCAGTTGCAAGAATATCTTGGTTCAGTTTTGTATTGCAAATAACTCTATTGGGCATATTAGTTGTCTCACTCTAATAACCACCCTTCTCCCAGTTGCACAAATTAAAATTTACAAGATTGGCTGGCTGTGTCACCTCCTAAATTAATAATGTAATGTCACCTAAATTATAATGTATTACTGATAATATCCAAATGTTTTGCTGAAGTTCAACTATTGTACAGCTGAAAGTACCAGACTCAGAACTGAAGAAAACCAGTGAAATCTGTCTTGATTCTAACCTAGGAATTAGACAACCTCGTATTAAAAATCCAGATGTGCCCTTGCATTTCCTGTTCCCCAACTTTTTGATGCATCAGAAGAAGTTGCAGGATAAAACAAATGCTGTTTATAACAGTCAGGATGAGAATATCATATATCTTCTTTTCTAGCTGTTTTAACTGTTGCATGATAGATTCAAAATACAGTGTCTACACTCTTGTCTTTCCAGGGAGAGTTGAGCACAATAGTGCCTCTGCCCTGACTTTTCTCTTATGTTGTGTCTAGGTAGGAACATTAACTCCATCTTCCAGCTGAGGTGGGCTTAAGACTGGGTTCTAGACATATAATTAATTTATAGTTACTGGCAGTACTTTTAGGGCCACCTTCTCCATATTTTAGAAAGAGGTACCATATTTTTTAGATGGGGTATTCTACACTTTGGAACATGAGTAAAATCTTATAATTGAAAGACAAAAACAGGCAGAAGAATAGAAATCGGAATCAAATATGGCAACAAAAAGTTCTCACTTTACAGGTGTTCTGTATATTAAAATGGTAGTCATCTGATTTCTACCTATTTTTCTGTCTGGAAGAGAACCAGTGATCTCCAGTCAGAATTGGTTTGAAAAGCCACAGTCACCATTATCAAAATCTAGAATAGATACAAAGTTAAGTAAAACTTGTGTTCTTCAGTTTCCAGTCCTAAGTCTTTCTGTGAGGGCTGATGCCTGATAAGAGCATAACTTCTGTTTTAATTTGCATTATCAGTAATGTCTTGTAATCAGTAATGCATGGGATGGTGATACACAAGGCAGAGACATTGAGGTGCTTCTGAGCAAGCTGCAGTGGGCCTCAAATGGCACATCCCTACATGCCTCAGATGCTTTTCCAAACTGAAACTTTTTAAGAGCTTTATGTACTTCAGTGGTAGGAGTGGAGTAATGCAACTTCCAGGACCGGCATAATCTGCCATGTGTGCACACCACTGTTCCCTATAGACATCCCTGTATCATTTCAGTTATCTTTCAAGGCATAGCAGTCAGGACATCTAGAAGAAGGTGCCACAACACTGTACTCACCTCTGGATGTTGAGCTATATTGTATCTATGACCATGATCTAATCGTGATGCGGCCTGACAGAAGCTACCCAAGGAAGCTTCAAATTCCTTGAACCCTTACAATTTAGGATTTACCCTCTGCACAGGACTGCACTTTCTTTCATCTGTGAATGCTCTAAATGTTGGGTCTGCACAGAAGACAGTGAAAAGATACTAATGAAACTTAGTTCCTGAATTCAGAGGGTGCAATGGAGGCAAGAAGGAATAGGGACACCTCATATTCCCCAGTTTTGATTGCCTTTTCATCTGTTGATGAATTTTCTGATTTGATCTGTTATGAAAGCTTATACTGTCTTTAAGTGCATTTTGTCTGTTAAGAATTTAACCAAACCAGTGCCATGGAAATAGCCATGGCAGTAGTATAGCTAAGAAAACCTGGGAGAACAAATAGGCTTTGATTACATGAGTACCATGAGTGCAGAACTGAGACCTGTGAGCAAATTGTGGAGAAAAGAATGAATAGATAACAAAAGTAATTTCAAACCCCAGAAAAATAGCAGTAATACTGTACCTTGTAAAGCATTAATATTGTAGAAATATGCATGACTGGAAACGGGATTAGCAAATTTGTTGGAGGGGAGTTGAAGGTCATTAAATTACATAGCAAAATTATTCTTGTGTTGCAGGCTTTTCAATAGAAGTTGATGATAAGGTTTCTCTTCCTGAATATCAGAAACCAAAGTGATGGGTTTTTTTAAAAGTGTTTTAAAATTTTAAATTCTGATGAAATTTGCAGAATTAGTGTTAAGCATATTTCAAAGACTCAGTTTTATTTATGTAAAGATTTTGAAGGATTGGAAGGGTAAAACTGCAGATTCATAGGTAAGCATAGCATAAAAATTCAAGATATACTTTGAATCTGTCCCTTTCCTTTAACTGATGTCAGTACTATGTCACAGAATACTGCATTCTAGACACCACTACATCAAAAAGCATGAGAAACAGTTCCTTGTTCATCCCTGAGATTATTAAGTACCTTCAGCACTCACCACTGCATCTGAGCTGTAATAGATGGTATTTGAAAGAAAGTGAATAAAACTCTGGTCCTCTAATCAGATTTTGTTTTTCAGTGAAAAGAAAAGGAAAAAAAATACAGGAGGCAAACATTTTCACATGGTTTTGCATCTTTATATATGAGGCTTTAAGAGAAGTTGGAAAAGAAGGTTGTGTGTAGAGAATGTGTCCTGTACTGATACGGATAAAACTAGGCAGGAAACTGTTTTTCTTAAAAAGCAATTCTTTTCATCAGTATCATCACTAGTGTCTTTTGACCCCATCAAAGTAATTAAAATGGGAAAAGGACATAGTTTAGGGTACCATGGCAGAGATACTCATTTCTGTTCCATTTCACGATCCAAAATATTGGAAGCTGAATACAGCCTAGCAACCTGTATCTCCATCCAGAGGTGACAATACAGAAACTGCCTTTGTAGGATAGCAAAGAGGACAGTATTGGCTTTCCCTTGTTTTTCCAACAGAGAGGCAGTGGATTTGATGGATATTATGTGAAACACTCCTGTAATGGTTTCATTATCACTGGCTGTTGAGCACATTGCAGGGTCATCACATATCCAACCTTTACAACAGAAACTTTTGATTTCCAAGGAGCAGTTGAAGAACAGAACGGTGAGAAAGTGCTGAACATATATTAACATTATTGAACAAAAGAACACAGGGTAGTTAAAATGGATTTATAAATTTTGGACTGGAATTAAGTAAAAATTGAATGTCCTTGTAATTATTTTGGGGAAAGACATATTTCTGTAATATGGAAGTAAAAGAAAGTCTTAGAGAAATCATAGCAATGGTAGGTTAAACACATCAGAAAATATAAAGTTAATGTATGCTTAAAAATGATAAGTCTTTATATGGGTAGATTTGCTTCCCATTTAAAGGGAATCATGCTTATTTTTATCTGTGGACCATTTAAGTCTCTCTCGTGGGTAGGACTATGCCATGACACCTGCATAAACAAAGACTTTCACAAATCTAATGTTATGTAATGAAAACTAATTGTAGCTTATTCATTACCATGAATTCAGTTGTAGTGTGAAAACAGTAGTCCAAAATCATTCAAAATTGTGTTTATTTCAATAGAAGTTTGTAGTCAGAATTCACAGTATGAGATATTGAAAATTATAGAAAGGGAGAAAAGAGTTGGAAAATAGAGTTGGGAAAGAGTTAGAAATGAGCTGGAAAAGGCAAAGTAAGGATAGGGCAGAGAGAGAGAGAGAGAGAGAATTAATTGCCTTCTCAGGATTCATAATAATTCCAATCCAATGTGTAACTATAGTGCTTTAATATTTTGAAGTGTTACTATTTTGTCTTTTTCCCCCCTTATAAAATTACCATGTGAACTTTACTCAGAGAAGCAAAACAATAAAAGCTCTCTCTGGATTCTTCCTTTAGTTTATCTTTTGAGATTTATGAAAGTTATTCAATCTACTTTGTTTAATTTGAATTAGAGATTTTACAATACTGAAAATATTTACAATTCCTTCTGCTATTTTCTACTATTGTCTCTACTATCCTTGTCTTTGGATAAGAGTAAGATTTTTCATACTTACTGTCTTTACCTATTGTGTTTTTTATGTAGTGTGTATTACATATAGTCTAAATTATGTAATTGTAGAATTAAATGTATTGCTTTAGTCTTTCCTCTATTTTCTTGCTGTATTTTTGAGTTAAAATGTCAGCATACAACCAGTATACAGATGCTATTTTGTGTGTTTATGT